TAAGGTAGAATTGGGATCCTGATAGTGGGGGGGGTGGGGGGGGTGGCGGGAAACATAAGCAAATGTGGTGAAGAAAGCTGATGCTGCCTGGCTATCAAAATACATAGCATCTGGGGTCTGAAAGGCTTGAAGATAAACAAGCTGAAAAGCAACAAAGCCCACATGGAAGAAGCATACCAGCCTGTGTGATCAGGAGGTGTCGATAGGATTATGTATCAGGCACCAAAGAGCAAAAAATCATATCATTGTGAATAATGGGGAGTGTGGAGTGGACACCCAAAGTCCATCTGCAGGCAACTGGACATCCCCTTACAGAAGGGTTGCAGGGAGGAGACAAGCCAGTCAGGGTGCAATGTAGCAACAATGAAATATAAAACATTCCCCTAGTTCTTTAATGCTTCCTCCCCCCCTCCCACTATGAAGATCATTTTGATGGCTACTTCATAGATTTTTGTGATGATAAAAATATGCAATGCATGCAAAGCATCCAATAAGCATCTTGCATATACTAAAAACTCAGAAACCACAGACATTTAAAAAATCATATTATCCACTTTGTTTTTCTATATAACTCCTTACACTCCAAGCATTTCACTTTCTGTAAATATGTATGTGATGTGTTCTACTTTGAGATTCCAATGTCTTTTACTTTGTGCTTTCTTGTTATGCCTACATATAATAAAAATAAACCGTTCCACATTAACCACATTTATATTTGCTTTGCATTAGAAAGAAGAAAGGAGCATTCAAAACTACTGTTCTTTGTTCATTAATAATTGTCAGAGGGGCTCAGTTGTTACAATGCAGCAAACGACTTCAGAGCACCTGTATCCTTGAAGAAGCACCACTTGCAGTCTCCAGACCAGAAATACCCACTTTTATTATTCTCCTGAAGAGAACACAACCATCACCTTCAAGAAAATCACACAAGTCACCTCATGTCATAAAATCTTATTACTGGGAAGAATTTTAAGATTCATTCTCAAAGAAAATATTAATCTGCTACAGAAAATATATATACTGATAGTGTGCCTTGCTTAGGATTTCTCCGTTTTTTTAGTCTGGGTATTTCCAGCAACGGGGAATTCTCTACATCAGCTAATCACAGCCAGATATATAAAACTAAAGAAATGGATAAACAGAATCATTCAGTCGTGACTGAGTTCATCTTTATGGGAATCACCCAAGACCCTCAATTGCAGATTATCTTCTTCGTGGTCTTCCTAGTGGTCTACATGGTCAACGTAATAGGGAATGTAGGTATGATTATTCTTATCATAACAGACACACAGCTGCACACACCCATGTATTTTTTCCTCTGTAATCTGTCCTTTGTGGACTTGGGCTACTCCTCTGCCATTGCCCCCAGGATGCTAGCTGACTTCCTCACTAAGCACAAAGTGATCTCCTTCGCCAGCTGTGCCACCCAGTTTGCTTTCTTTGTAGGTTTTGTGGATGCTGAGTGCTATGTCCTGGCTGCCATGGCCTATGACCGTTTTGTGGCCATATGTCGACCCCTCCACTATACTACACTCATGTCAAAGCAAGTCTGCTTGGCCCTTATACTGGGCTCTTACTTTGCTGGTCTGGTGAGTTTGGTAGCCCACACGTCTCTTACCTTCAGCTTGAGCTACTGTGGGTCAAATATCATCAACCACTTCTTCTGTGAAATCCCCCCCCTCTTGGCCCTCTCTTGTTCCGACACCTACATCAGTGAGATCTTGCTCTTCAGTCTGTGTGGCTTCATTGAATTCAGCACCATCCTCATCATCTTCATCTCCTATTTCTTCATCCTCATTGCCATCATCAGAATGCGCTCAGCGGAAGGCCGCCTTAAAGCTTTCTCCACCTGTGGGTCACATCTTACCGGGGTCACCCTCTTCTATGGAACAGTCATGTTTATGTACCTGAGACCAACATCCAGTTACTCCCTGGACCAAGACAAGTGGGCCTCTGTGTTCTACACAGTCATCATCCCTATGTTGAACCCTTTGATCTACAGTCTGCGAAACAAGGATGTGAAAGCGGCTTTCAAAAAACTAATTGGGAAAAAACCTCAATAACATGATCACCTGTGATTATCACAAGTGATAGTGGTAGAAGGCTGGGCCACAAAAAGGAAATGCAAATATCTGTCCAAGAAAAACAACCCATTTGCCTTTTACAAGATGAGTGATGCTTACATTCTGAAGAAACACCTATAATAAATACAGATTATAAATATCAAATAAGTAGAAGTTAACATTTTGAAAGGCAGGCAAACCAAGAAGCACTGTGTAGGAGGGAGGGGTGTTTGGTTTTGTTTGTTTGTTTCTATTTTATTTATTAGAAATGGAGGCAATGCTTGAACCAAGAGCTCTAAAACAGATCTTTCATGGTCAAAAGGAAAACCAGGCCCAAATATTAAGCATTCTCTACTCAGAAAGGAAGTTAAATAAATTTAATTAAATACAAGGGACATGGCTTTGGTGTGTTGGATAACCATACTCAGTTCTGCATATGTCCATTCATACATTCAGGAAAACAAAAATATGACTAATATGTATGTGCCAGGTCCTGGAGAATACAAACTTAAGATACACATTGTGTCAACAAGAGATTTTTATATTTAGTTACTTTATAATTTTTCTCTCAGTCTGGTTCTACCAATAGCAGAATCAGGAGCTATGAATAAGAATAAGAACTAATCTTTGCTGCTAACTTGCTTTGTGAGCTTTGTCAAGACTCTTGTCTATCTTAAATTTCCATTCAGTCAACAGATTACTTCACCTAATCCCCACCATTCCCACCTCCAACCCCACCACTGATCTGCTCTACTGACTATTCAACAAGAGTAGACCTCAGAGTGTTGACTATCATCTTCCTATCATGGAATACCCTTATAGATACATGGAAACTCTTAAACTTTTCAGCCTCCAAAGAAATGCAGCTTGGTGGACTAACTGGCAAATGTTAGCAAAATTGGAACATATATAGGATTAGTCATCCAGCTTTCATCCAAATTTTTCCCTAGTCCTTCTTCCCTCTCTTTCATCATCTTAATTAGAGATGATAGTCTTCCCCCTTGGGTTCCACAGGTCTCCATGATTTCCACAATCATATTCTGGTCCTTAACAATAAATCAGGAGAAGGAAGGGTCTTTCTATGTCCATAACCAGTTACAGTCTCAGAAACTCACAAGGGGATGTCTACCTCTAGTGTCCACCTCTAGTGTCTCTATGAGTCAGCACTGACTGGATAGCAGTAAGCTTATTGTTTTTATCAAAGAAACATCCTAATTTACTGAGTCATATCAATGGCAGGGAATAGGAAAAGTAAATAAATTCCCTTTGCATATTCACAAGGCTACAATATTTCATTACCAAAAAAAAAAAAACATTATCAGCAGTCAAGCAGAAGTCTGTGATGTAGGGACAATCTAAATATTTCTTAAATGTATTGGTACTCCTTCACAGCATCATTTTCAAATACCTGCAATTAATAATCTTTCCTTAAACTCTTTCTCCAGTGTAATGTAGTAAAAATCATGGAATGCAACTGGTTAAAAGGACTCATGGAAATAGAAATCGTTTCTGTTAACATGTAGAAACCCCACTCCTGGTGACAGTTGCCAACAAATTTCAGGAATAAAAGATTCAGGAATTATCAGGACTTCTCACTGATCTCATTAAAAAGGTATTCAATCACCTCATGAATTTCCAAAATTGGTTCAGCGTCACAGGCTGGATCAAGACTCTCTGTCACTTAGTGGACAAACATGGAGTTGGCTGTCCAGAAACACTCCAGACATATAGCCTCAGTTTGGAGTTTTCTTTTTTACCCCCAGAATTTAATGTGTAAATCATAGAACTTTTAAGCTATATGATACAAAAGAAAATAGGATTAATCTAGCCCACTGATTACAAATGAAGCATATGTTATAATTCTAAGAGCACTTTTCCTAGCATCAGGAAGCTATATCTTTGAATTCCATTTTATGTCTGTAATGTGTAACCTCATTGGTATGGGATTCCTGGTTGATTTTTTGTTGGTTTTAAAAAAATCAATTTATTGGGGCTCATACAATTCATCACAATACATAGATCAATTGTGTAAAGCACA